GGGGGGGGGGGTTGGTTGAGAGTTTGACAGAAAGGTAAGATGGTGTCATCGCCAGTGTTGAGGAGTATATTACGGCACGAGGTTGCCGGAGGTAGCTTGCAAGCGAGGGGAGGAGAAGGGACAACAGGAGCAGCAGCAGGAGGAGGAGGAGGAGGAGGAAGTAATAAGCCGAGGAGACGAGTTCAGTGGGGTGCTATAAATAGCATCTACTTTACGCCAACTGAATGGCAACAACAAGGGGATGAGGAGAGGAAGGAGGTGATTGAACAGCAGCGCAGAATGCTGCGCGGCAATGCTACCGGTAGTAAGGTACTTATCCCATCCAACGGCGCGCAATCGAAAATACCAACGTCAACCTCCAGCGATATTCGCCCGCGTCAGGTTTGTATGTGCTCGCCTACTAATCACGCCGGGTCTTTCAGATGCAGACTACACATTCAGAGACAACCAGCGCCTTGGCTTCGGCGACCATCGTCATCATCGGGATCGGGATTATCGGCATCGGCATCTCTGATTGCCACGTCAGCAGCAAAGCGCGCCGCGCTGAAGTCCGCTGCGCCCTTGGCAGGAGGAGCGCAAACGCATTAAAAAAGAAAAGAAAAGGGAGGGAAAGAAAAATTGAGAGCGTGTACGATTAGTCGATTAGATAATTAGGATGAGGACATTTTAAGAACTATACTTCGCACCCCGACTCTTCCTGAATGTATCTGGCCACAATTTACGGTCAGATGTAGGCTGTGAATTAGTGCTAGTGTGCGAGTATGGCCTCTTAGATAACGGTAGGATGCAGATGAACGCCCTTTCTGTCGCGTGGTGACTAACACGTCACGTCCATCCGACGAAAAACGTTTCATAAGAACTCGCAAGATTTCAACTCATGTACGTACGGTCGTTGCTGAGTTGTTTCGTTTAATGATCTTTCAGTGGAACTTTCCACTTTCTCTCTCGAGACTTTCGTCAGCAGCAATTCGCTCGCAGAGATAGAGAGAGGTAGATAGATAGGGGGGCCCAACGAGAGAGAGAGAGAGAGAGAGAGAGAGAGAGAGAGAGAGAGAGAGAGAGAGAGAGAGAGAGAGATTTCCTTTTTCTCTCGACACTTTCGGAAGCAATTCGCTCACAGAGAGAGAGAGAGAGAGAGAGAGAGAGAGAGAGAGAGAGAGAGAGAGAGAGAGAGAGAGAGAGAGAGAGAGAGAG